CAAAACTGTAAACCGAAATCAGAAAAAAAGGTATAAACATAATTATATGTTTTTTAAATATCGAATATAATTTAATCCGATAATGATTGAAAGAAAGTGTTAATAGATGTTGTATTTTAAAAGCGCAATTTAGAGTGCAATTTTTATTTGACTGTTTCAGTATTTCTGTTTTAGATTTTGAAAACTTCTCCGATTACAATTTTAATTATAAAATATGGAATAATAATTCCATACTACGTTAGTTTGAAAATGTTAAAACTTTCAGTTCTTGATATAAAAATAGCAATGCTTTTAATGCAAAGTAAATGTAATCTTTTACTTTCTCGAATTATTAATTTGGCTCTCGTCTAGATGTAAAACTGTGATTATATTAAGAATTGAATCTGTAGGAACCACAATTATGCCTTATAGTCTGCAAAAGTCCATTCAATTTACCAACTGTATAGAACCTTAACTCTTTCTCTCGTCCCTTTTCGTTTCCCATAGGTATAATTCTTGTCCTTGATGATACTGGACTTAATTATTAGTACCAATATTTTTACATCGTCTAGAATAAACAGACTGAAAACAAAACTAAAAGTTACGTTTGCTTTGAGAGGGAAAAGAACACGAATTTAAACCTGTAGAACAAAACCAAACTAAATATTTCTTTATCTAAGCAACGATTACATCCAAATAAAGAAGCATTAGGGGAAAGACAAACAAACGCAGCTGCATTCCCAGCTTCCTAATACCTTAATTGGAAATGAATCAATTAAACGGATTTGTTGTTCTGCTGAATTCTCTATGAGAGTTTCGAACATGTTTCTTCGGGTACCAGACCGAATATAAGTCATTTGAGCTTTATACTTCCTTACGTTAAACGGCGAATGCGAAAAGAAAAGAACTCGCATACTCTTAAAATATATTTACACATTTTATTAATATAATAATTTTTGCATTTAGTGAAATAATGAAAGTTATTTATTAGTTATTTTATTATTCTAAGTTTTCATTCATCAATAATTTTTCATTCACCACAGTTAAGTTTACTATTTAAAATAATGATTTACTGAAAAACAAATCTGAATAATTTATGTTCTTACAAAATGTTTGCAAATAAGGAATATCAGTGTTAAGTATTTAAATAGTTTTAAATTAAAAGAATGCTGCCTAAAACTATACATGGGACTTAAAACACTGATGTATAAAATGTATTGCTTATAAACATACTGTCTCAAAAAATGTACATTTACAAAATCTAGTTAAAAAGAAACATGACACTAAATTAAGCAGTTAATAAAAATAATTAAATACATTGCAATGTGAAAATTCAGAAAAATTGCCTGAAAGCATGCATTTCAAATACTCTGAAAAATGTTTCTTTCTCAAAAGTTTAGACACGTGCCATGTTTGTATGGAAAATGTTAAGTTGTGTGCGAGGTAGAAGCAATATATTACGTAAGCGTTTTCAAAGCAATAGCAATATATTACGTAAGCGTTTTCAAAGCAATAGCGTTTTTTCACCAGGAAGTTAACGTATAGAAGACTGAAATTAAATGGCAGTTTCAGAGAAAAAGAAATCTGGATGACAGCACATATGGTGATTGAAGAAAAAAATGATGAAACTGTAAAAAATAAACAACGCGCTTAGTAGCCAAAGGATTTACTCAAAAATACGGCAGTGATTATGATGAAACGTTTTCACCAGTAGTGAAACACACTACGATAAGAGTTTTCTTAGCATGGGCAGCGTATAATAATGCCAAGGTACATCAACTAGATGTTAAAACAGCTTTTTTGTAATGGCAACTTAAATGAAGAAATATATATGGAACAACCAGAAGGATTCGTGGTTCCGGAAGAAAGACATAAAGTTTGTAAATTACAGAAGTCGATTTATGGTCTCAAACAAGCAGCTAGGTGCTGGAATGCAGAAATTGAAAATACATTGAAGAATCTTTGGGTTCAGTCAAAGCAAAGCAGATCCGTGTCTTTTCACAAAAGTGGTTCGTGATAAAAGAATTAATTTAATAGTGTATGTTGATGACATCCTAATAAGTTCTACAGAAGAAGGACTAATTCTTCAAACAATTAATGATTTAAAGAAACGTTACCAAATAACGCATCTTGGTGAAGCTAAATATTTCTTAGGCATGGAAATAAATCGCAAGGAAGATGGAAGTTATCTCTTATCACAGAAAAATAAAATAAATCAACTTGTCAAGCAATTTCAACTTGAAGAAGCGAAATCCGCTAGCACACCAATGGAAACAAAACTATTATAACCTAAACAAGGAAGAAAATCTCCTAAATTCAAGTGATAAATTTCGCCAAACTATTGGAAGTTTTTTGTATATATCGTCTATCACAAGACCAGATATCACAGCTTCAACTCACATACTCAGCAGAAGGTGTAATAATCCACGTCAAAAGGACTGGAATGCTGTTAAAAAGAATCATTAGATACTTAAACACGACAAAGAATCTATCCTTACAAATTTCGTCGAGTGAAGAACCTAATATTACAGTTTTATTCAGATGCTGATTGGGGACAAGATATTGAAGATAGAAAATCTACATCAGGAAGTGTTATTTTATTAGGCAAAAAACTGTATTTCATGGTTTTCAAGAAAACAAACTTGTGTTTCTTTATCCTCAGCAGAAGCTGAATATGTTGCACTATCGCAAGCTACGCAAGAACTATTATGGCTATTAAAATTAACAGAAGATTTCAATCTACCCCAAACTCTACCGATAAAGGTATTTGAAGATAATCAGTCTACTATAAGACTTGTAGAATCTGAAAAATTCAGTTCGCGCACAAAACATATTGATACAAAAGTTCATCATATACGCGACTTGAATAACAAAGGAATAGTAAAACTTGCTTATCTTTCAACAGAGCAAATGGTTGCTGATATTATGACTAAACCAATTCCTAAAGCTAAATTTCAGTTTTGCAGGAATGAATTGCAATGAGTTTCATGCAAAACAGGGGCAATGTTAGCATAAATTTAGGTATTTTTCATAATGAAACACGAAAGGGCATACGAAACGAACGTGCGCCAAGATATATATTGGCGAGAGAAAGTAAAGTTCGCGAGCAATGCAGTATATTTGACTTTCACCTTAGCTACGTGAAGTGTATTCAGTTAGTACTTTCTCTTTTCCAATACGGTATCAAAGTATGTTTCTTTTTTCTTTGCCTAAATAGGTAAGCCTGATGATATTTAGGACTGATGATGATTCTATGTAAGTTATTCTTTTCAAAACTTCAAGTTTTAATGTCTGTGAAGATTATTACTTTCTGTTATGCTTAAGTTAAGCAAAACTCTTCTATCTTATTAAATAAAGATTTCGTAGTTAATTTTTTGACTTATGATTCTTTAATGAAAACTGCGCCTGAAGAAACTTACTCATTATGCCTTCAGTGCTAATGCACAAACCAACAATTTTATATTTACTTTTAAGTTTTGTTTTCATCGCCTACCATCTGAATGCAAATTAGTAGTGAATTTAAGCTCAGAGTTCATGAATTCGACAGCTGTTATCGTTGACAGTCATCTCGCTGGTATTTTACCTAACGCCTGAGTTATCTGAATAGGCATTAGCTTCGCTAAAATTAACTGCTTGCAAGAGTTTTGAAGGCCTGAGTGAAAGCTTGTAGCGAACTTTGCCTCGTAAATTTAATATTTTAATTTTATTTTAATTTTTTTCTGTTCTCAAAATCATAAATTACAGAACATCACGCATTAGTAAACCACAAAACAATACTTCTGAATAGCACATAAGGAAAAACAATTGCGTCAAATTATTAGCATTTATTCATTAATTGATTCCTCAAGGCAAGCTGAAAATTATATCAAAAATCTCTAATTCTGATATTAAATATTTCAATTTTTGTTACATAATAGTCAAATTTTTTGTGTTTTATTTCTTGTAATAAGAATAATATTTTTCTGCGTGAAAATATAGGGAACCAGGAAACGTATATAATTACGTTTCGGGTTTTATACACAAAATGTTTTTTAAGTTACAAATATGAAAACATGAATTTTGGCGTCAGTTAAAACGTTTTTGCAACTGGAAGAATATGTCAGTGGCCAACGACTGAAAACACATAGGTTGGGCAAGGAAATTTGCGGACACGGCATATAGTGAGTGAGATGACGTTCTCTATTAATGTCGAAAGTCTATCTTTTCTTGAGAGGTATTAACATTTTTCTAAACTTCCGTTATTACGTATTATTTCAGTTTTTATATGTTTCAGATTTTCTAATCTTAAGTATTCATTTTCGATTTTTCAAATTATATTTACGTGTTATGATTCCATGTATCACCCGAATAGACGATTTCAGATTTATCCACGAATTTTGGAGAAATTTATGTTTATGTAGATGAAAAATAATTTTGGAAGACCGTATATAATCAGGTTATAAAGATTTTGTTTCTTAATTGATATCTGTCACATTCTTATCCAATATGTCAACTTTTGAATTTCTTTTTCACTTAAGTTTTATTACATTTTTCCAAAAATTTGTTAGTTCAGAAATGTGTTAATTTCCTACCGATTAAATCTACTTACGCATTCATTCCGTTTTCTTTCCGTTTAAATCTACTTACGCATTCATTTACTGTAGATGAATACAATTAAAGTTACGTAAAATTATAGCTTTATCGATTTCTTTAAAATAAATATTAGTTCATCGATATGCACCTACAAAGGGAGATCAAAATTACGAATTCAACTGCCAATTCAACATTCTTAAATAATCATTTTCTCTCAAGTTAGCAAAGTATTGATATTTGTTGCTAATGAGATTCTCTCAGGCAACACTTCGGTGTGACTCTATTAAACTGTTATCGAAGAATTTAAACTTTCAGAATGGCATCACTATCAGATACAAACTACGGCACGCGATCTTAATGAAAACCCAACATGAATTAAGCTTATTTATTTACAAATATTTTATTATTGTACATACGTTCCAGTTTACTGATTATGGCCAGAAGGCATTCGACAAATTACCTTTTCATCACTTTAATGGTATATTTCTGCTCTTTGGCAAGTACTTTTTATCAATAATATTAATAATGTATTATAATTCAGTGTTTTAATAAGTTTTAAAATAGTTTAGTTAGTTTACGATATTTAAATTGTTTAATTATTTTATTTTGATAACTGATTCAGAGTTTGACTCAATATAGAATAATTCTGGATTTTAATTTTTCTTAAAATATCATGATTATATACACAATCCTAAATTAATGAAAATATTGATAACAAATTTTTAGCAGCTGATTTCATAATGCATTTGAATCTACTTATCTATCTCTCAATAGATAGAACTTAATATTTTATTTATTTTAGACTGATGCATTAAAATGTAGTATTAGAAATTACGATTTTTGCTTATTATCTGATTTTTTTAAATATCAAGTTTCTATTAGTACTATTTGTCATCGAATGACGCACACGATTTTACTATAGCGGAAAATTGCATCCTAAACCCAAATTATGTTTAATTATCGGAACTAAAATAAAGAAGTTTGTATTATATAATTACAGTCGTTACATTAGTTTGTAGAGTCATTAGAATTTTTTTGAAGCAGGAAACGTGAAAAACAAACAATGTCCTCGCCGGGATTCGAACCTAGACTTCTCGAATACGCACAGACTGTGCTAACCGTTGCACCACGAAGACATACTCGAATGAGGGAGAAAATACCTCAGAAATTATTTGATTTTGTTATAGTAAAGTATTCGAAACTTTAAAAAAATAAATATCGTTAAAAAGAATGGATTAATTTTTTTGTTGAAAACGTTGTTTTTTAAGATGGCAAGCAAATGTAAATAAATATATTTACTACGAGTATAAAATACTAAAGAAAGGTTAAATTATTACTTTCATATAGCACAGAAATAGAATAAAAATACCGCTATAAAAACATTGCGCCAACGTTTAATTGGATTAAAATATTACGTAAATTGAATATCGAATTAAAAACCATCATAACAACGTTTAAAAAGAAATTAAAATATTACTTAAATTAAATACTTTAAAATAAGTAAATAAGAACGCTTCGTACACTAGAGCTAAAATGACACCAATTAGTTTATTGTCTGTAAAAAAGGAGGAATGTCTAATAATTTTCTTACTGTTACAGCGGTTATTTCTTCCAACATGACCACAATACCATATACGGCCGTCTCAGAATCGGCTCTTCTAACGATCTTCATCTGTGATCTACATTTTCGCACTTCATTGAAGAAGCAATTAGCGAGGTTTCCTCCAAAAATTTAAAATAAATTGTAAGAATTTATAAATAAATATTTGATTAGGAAAGCCAGGCTGGCGAAAATAGGTCTCAAAGGACAATTTTTTGATTCCTGATACCAATAATTCTTGGTACTTTATCCAATAACAAGGAGACATTTTTGAAGGAATTCGAAAGATATGAATTAAATTTTAAAATGGCGCGGTAATGCACAAATTTTCATTAGCAACCTATCAGGGAGCTGATTACAGCTCGTTAATGCACAAATATTCTATAACCAATCAGAGAGCTGATTACATCATGCCTAAAATTAAAATTATTTAAATAATTATACATAATAAAATCATTTTTAAAAAAAGAAATGCAAAATTAAATTGTATTTTAATATTAACAGCCATAAATAATGCTTAAAACATTAGATTAAATTTATAGATATTAGAACCAATTACTTTTAAAGTAAGGTGACGTCAGTGATTACATCATCCACAGCATAAAATATCATAAACAATAAAATTTTTATTTCAAATAAAAATGCAAAATTAAATTGATTTTTAATATTTAGAAGCCATAAATAATATTTAAAACACGGAATTTATGCATAATAACACGCATTATTTTTTAAATAAAATGACAACAAAGTATCGGTTCATAAATAACTTATCCAGCAATGGGTTTACCATAAGTCGTAATACTCGCCAAAAGAAAAATTGCCAAAAACTCGCCAAAATCCGTGCAACCGTCTACCAAAGTAGCATCCGTTCGAACAACTAATCTTACGAATCAATATGATTTTCTTCCAAGTATTACGAGGATTATATTTTGCACAGATGAATTTTGGGGTGTAAGGGACAAATGAAAATAAAACCTATTGTATGTTCTGATATATTTTAAAGTCTTTATATCACACAGAGTGATACTGCTTAAGAAAAACACTAGAAAAGTGCAAGTAGAAATTGGTATATTTTCCCAAATATAAATAAATTTTATCAAGAATAATATATCATTTTTATTGATCAATATTTCCAAATTTTGTTTCGGAGAAATGTTGCAAATTTGAAAATTAAGATCTGTAAGTTACGCTCAGTAATATACTTAGCTTTAGCACTGTTTCTTACCCCAAAGCCTTTGGGTAAACGACTTTGCGGTAAATAGATTTAAATGTGAAAAGTGTCCATTCGTACCTTGGCCAGTAAAGAATAAATTTTAGAAAATGAATCATACGTTTCATAATATTCAGATAATAACAATAATAAATTAGTTTAATAAATCGTATTCATCAAAATATTGTGAAATCGTAATAACTTATTGTGAATGTTTCTAGAAATTCCACTCCCACACTGCTGTCGCCTCTGTATAGACTTCTAGAGATGGCAGATAGGACTCCAACCAGCTAAATGAAATCAGTGATCAATTATTATTAGCTGGAAATCCGTTTTCTTGTGCATCGAATCTAAGACTTCTTCTATTACTGGTGTTTTGTTCGCTCATCTAAGCTATAATGAGCATGAAGTCAGATTAATTCATATTTAACTAATGCAGCTAGAGTTGTTTTTACTTCTTTCAAGCATCTCTATGAAAAATCGAACTTTAGAGGAAGAAACAAATTTTAAAAACGGTCCAATTAAAATGTACATCTCAAATTTCAGGGAAAGAAAAAATTTAGCAAAGAAAATTTAATAATTGTCTTCGGCAGCAGCCTTGTGAGAATGTTGATTTGGCGCGTTCTTGCTTTAGTATGAAACAAATAGTTACCTATAGGCTTATGTGAGAGAAACAAATCTTTACCGTTACAGATCTGCGCATGTACATTTATTCTACTGTCGCTTGTATTAAAACGATTTTTCAAGTGTGCTTTTATTTCATGTTTCTTCAGTTAATGAAAGTTTTCGCTTTTAAAATGCAGCAATTCAATTTCTTTCTTTCTTTTTAGTCCAAAGGGACTTGAGTCCCGAAGGACTATTACTTTCGTTTTGGCATTTTGCGTCGGACGGATAAATGTCGGTTCACTTTTCTTCAAACTGTTGCCATAAAATGTTAGAGTCCTGCATTATATTTGAAGAAATTAAATAATGAAAATCTGCGTAAATGTATGTATATTTCTCACATTGTCATAAAATAACGGTACATAGAGTCATCGAATTTTGAATAACGTAATCCTCCAACCCGAATATGAGCATGTGGAAGACCAAATTTGAAATTTAGAAATTTGTTTTATTATCGATTTCCTATTTTTTGTAAAACTTTGAACGAATTTTTGATTAACAAACTCAAGGATTTCAAAGCGAGCAATTGGCAACGTTGTGCAGAAAAGAACATTTTTATCTCCAGCGTGCGTAAGTCTCTGTATCGGAAATTCTAAAGATATGCTCGTTTTTAAAACTTATTTTGCGATATTGCTGTTGCAACTGGATCTTATGGTTTAAGTGCGAGGAACATGATATTTAATAAAGAAAGGTAACACACAAAATGTTAAAAAACGCCCCTTTGGACGTAATTTAAAATCTGAAACATTTCAGATTTTTTTTTTTTTTTTTTTTTTTTCTTCAATGGCGGGCGCTTGCCTATAACGCCGTTAGCATTTATGCTAACGGCTTCGTGCTTCGTGCTACTAAAGCCTAATTTATAACGGCTAATTTATGCTTCGTGCTACTAAAGCCAGAAGTGATGAACATTTTATTGCGAAGGAACCTAATAGGCGGCCACCGTTACCTCCTATGAAGGGACAGACAATTTTACATCCATGCCTTCACCGGGACTCGATCCAGGGCCTTTCGGTATCACAGTCAGGCTTCCCTAACCAGTATACCGTCCACTCGACATTAAATTATGCTTACTATTTTTAATTCACTATCAAATGAGATAGATGCTATAGTTTTTAGCAAGAAATATTATTTTACAAATCGAGAGAATATGTGAAAATGGGCATAAAATGCAATTATATGTTGGAAAAGAAATCATTTCGTGATACAATATTCAAGCACCAAGCCGGCCGTGATAATGTATTTGAGGCATTATCAACAGCAGTTTTGAACCAGAAAGAGGCGGCCACCAGAAAGAGTTGGTAAAAAAAATATTTTCCGTTATCTTTATGTATATTATTTTTTAAATAAATTGCTTGAAAAATTGTATTAAAAAAGTAATAAATAGAATATTATAATTTATTTAATTAAGTACTATATAAATTATAAAGCTATTAACTGCTGATATAAACACAAATTTATATTAAATTCCTTCTATATGTATATATTAAATAACTTTTGTTGCTCGAATATTGAAGAAATTATTGTATACTGTATTGAGTTTCTTTTCGGTGCATGGAAGCCTCTACAAATAAAAAGTACCAAGAATTTAATGCTCCAATAAAGAGTGCAAAGATTTGGTCTCTGGCTGTGGCCTGCGTGCAAATATGTGAAGTTTATTCAGTTAAAAAGTGTTTTAAGTTTGTGAGGCATTAAGACATCATGTAGCGATAAATTATACCAATTTATATAACGGTTATCGAATGTTCTTTAACTTGAATGATATGAAGTCTTCCAGTTTCTCTGTTTTTTCATTCTTGTTCCCATAGTATGTTTTTAAATATTTAAGTTTCCGATTTCGCTCAAGGCGGATCTAAAATTTTTGCTTCGTCACAAGTAATTGCCGATTTTGTTGCTTCGTCCGTATCTTCATTTCTAAATATTCTTATATGTTCTTGGGGCAAGCATCAAAAATATATATCTGTAATATCAAAAATTTTTTTCTATTAATCCTGATTTATGTTTTATT